TAATAAAATGATTAAAGAAAAAGAATTGGACGAGACCCCAATAAAATGATTTTAAAAATAAATACAAGAAGAAAAAACCCCCAAAACATTTGTTTTCTACTTGAAAAAAACCAAAATGGTTTGTTCTAATAACGTGGCACTGTATGATACTCACCTACCCAACACAATTGCTGAAGACAAAATGGGTGCATAAGTAAATGTGGTAAAGAAAGCTGGTGGTACTGGCTATTAAAAAATATAGCCCCTGGGGTCATAAAGGCTTGTAGTCAAACAAGTGGCTATGTAGCAGGGAAGCAACAAAGCCCACATGAAAGAGGCACACCAGCTTGTGTGATCATGCGGTGTCATGTCAACGGGATCAGGTACCAGAAGTTCAAAAACGAAATAAAATTGATCTGAAGGAGGATGGACAAAGTGGAGACCCGAAACCCACCTGCAAGACAATCAGGCAGTCCCTCACAAAGGGGATGAGGAATTCAGGGTGCAGTTTAGCACTGATGAAACATAATCATCCTCTGGTTCTTTAACATTTCCTCCCCTTATTATTAAGCTTATGTTTCAACTCTTTAATACTCTTGGACCTACATATGTTCATCTGTATAATGAAGATCATTTGATGCAGGAATGCCAGGATGGATGATCCTTCAGAAATGGCAACAGGAGTAATGATTCCTAGAGGATACAGGAAGATGGGGGAGGGGCAGGGAGGTAAAGGGAACTGATAGCAATGATGACTGTATAACCCCATTCAAGAGGAGCAAATAACAGAATTATAGGTGAATGGATATATTAGATAGGGTAAGATATGGCTAATATATATTATATAGCAATAATAAGGGTTCCTGGAGGGAAGGGAGGGGGAGGAAAATTGAGTCAGGGGCAGGACTGAGAAAGGAGAAAAACTGCAGCTAGCAAGACATCTGGTATTGGTCAGTACCCATTCTTAGCCAAAGAGAATGGGTGGGAAACCTGGTCTTAGATGGAGTTCCTGCTGGCCTAACTGCAGTATGGGATCAGGGACCTGATTCAGAAGTAATTTGTGTAGGCTCAAAGGATGGCTGAAGTTAGGCCGCTTGTTCTGGAAGAAACTCTTGGGCCCAGAGAGAACCTGGGGCCAGGGCATGTGTTCATGTATAAAGTTCTTGCTCACCCAGGGTGGCTGGTGACAGGCTGCTTGCCTGGCACTGTGATTCTGCCAGTCTGATGAAGTAGAGCTCACCTGCCTCCAGACATGAGGTGGTATACCAGGAGCCTGATCCTTGAGGCGTGACTCTGACCTCAGGCAGAGCAAGGGCATACAGAGGGGTTTGTAACCAGCCACTGAGTGAGTGAGGGTTGGGGCTGACCACTCCTCTGGTCACCCATAGAGTGTGGGGAACAAGGGAGGACCCCACCATTCTTGTCACTAGCCACTCATGCTTGTGCTTCTAGGCTGCTGTGTAGGTCAAATGCTCCTTGTACAAGTTCAGGATGACGGTTCCTTGTCAGGCCAGCTGACATTTCATGCCTTCCATCTGTCTCCTCTCTGGCTGCTTTTGTTCAGCTTCTCCCAGTCAGTATTCAGTCCACTTTATCCTTTCATCTGAAGTTTAGAGTTCCAGGAGTATCATCCATATCGATTTCATTTGCTCTCTCACGGCTTTGTTGTTTAGGGGCTGTGTAGGGTGTCTGCCTAGTCTGTCATCTTGCCAGAAGTCCAGGGCTTCATTTTCTTTAAGGCTGAATAATATGTCATAGCATGTTATCACTTTTTGTTTATGTATTCATCTGTTGACGGACATTGGGTTGTTTCTACCTTTTGCCTACTTGAATAGTGCTGCATTACCACTATTAAAAAACATATTTCTGAAGATATTGGCTAATTTAATTAGGTAAGAAAACAAAATGTGTTATAAAGTTGAAGAGAGTTGGCAAAATGATCACAATGTGTAAATGCAGTAAAATGTGAAGAAGTTGGAACCTGTATAAATTGGAAAACTGTCAGAGGAAGAAAACAAAAACTTTTCCATTAAATAGAAAGTGATAGAAAAGAGGTGGCTTCACCCTGTGAAAGGCAAAGCCATGATGGTCATGGTTCTCAGCCTGTGGGCCGCAACCCCTCTGGGGGTCGAACGACCCTTTCACAGGGGTCGTCGCCTAAGACCATAGGAAAACACATAAATATTTCACCATATATAATTACATATTATTTTGTGATTAATCACTATGGTTTAATTCTGCTCAATTTGTAACAATGAAAATACATCCTGCATATCAGATATTTATATTAGGATTCATAACAGTAGCAAAATGACAGTTATGAAGTAGTAACCAAAATAATTTGATGGTTGGGGGTCACCACCACATGAACTGTATGAAAGGGTCGCGGCATGAGGAAGGTTGAGAACCACTGCCCTAAACCAAGGCAGACCTGCTAAGTTCCAGCTCTCACAGGTTTCAGGTTTATGCACATCTGGATAATAAACCAAGAGAATCAAACGGAAAGCGACTACTTACAAAAGGTCGTTCAGCAAGACGGTTAGGTATTTGTGGAAAGTGTGGAGAACACTTCTGACCGCCTGTGGATGCACAAAGAAGACTCCAGCTCTACACCAGCCCAGGTCAGACGTGTTTTACCCTCCACACGTCTTTCTCCTGATTCTGTACCAACGATGCCTCTCACTACATTCTACTTCTCTGCTGGGTTTGATTATTCCACTGCAATGGCCACACAGAACTTACAGACAATACTCATGATTATGGGAGCTATAAAGGGAAGTTAACAGGTTACCAAAACGCCAGGATCAGAAAACATTCAGGATACAGTATTTGGTACACACTGATACCCATCCTCAACCAGCAGCCAAGTCTCTCTCTGCTCCTCAGTCTCTCAACCCCAAGGTCCCTTGGCTTCTGCCTGCATGGGCCAGGAAGCCCACCTGCTGCTCTGCCTCACTGCCCTATGATGTGCACAGCTTAGCTCCTCTGCTCCATCTGGCCAGGGCTCCTCTGGTGCTTCTGCTGCCTCCACAACTTTCAGACAGGGAACTGGCATGCACTCTGCTGGTGGCCCTTTTTATTCCCACTTCTGAGATGGCTCTTTGATACCCAAGGGAATGGCAAACTGACTAATCCCCTCTATTAGTATTTCACATAGCCTATTTGCCTGGTCAATCATTGTGTGGAAGTTATGGAAAATGGACAGAAGAGCCACAGTGATTAATTTCATTTCACCATAGTACTAAATTAACATAAATCAACAGCCCTTATATATACACAAGTGATACTACATGGTATAAAGAGGATATCTAATTTATAACAGCTATGCAAAATATAAAATAAATCTAATAGGTGATGTGCAAGAACAATATAAATACATTAGTCTTTTGAATATTACTGAGGGGCATAAATGAAGATTGTAACAATGGAGAAGCATACCATATTTGCCTTAGGAAGTAAAATAAAGCTATTAATTCTCAAGTTAATTTTATAAGTCTTTATATATGGGAGTGCTTCAAAAACTTTGTTCAAAAACTCCATTATTATTTGATTCCAGTTTTCCATATGATTTTTGAAGCACCCTCATAAAAACATCTAAGTCTAGATACCACTAACCGTTTAGCTCTTACTGTATTAAAAAGCTCCTACAAATCAAAACAAGCAAAGTAATCAAACTGCCCCATGAGGAATGTGCAAAGCAAATGGACTAGCATTCGTTCACTTGTCTTTTAATATGTTTAGTCAGAATCCAGTGACTTTCAATCACAAACACTAAGTCCTGGTTTAGATGTACCCATAAAGCAGTGGAGGAAAGAGCATTCCAGTCCATGGGAAGCTTACATTTGTACATTGTAGAGAGATCTACATTAACCAAGCCATCCTCAGGTAATGATAAGTGCTATGACACATAAAATAAAATAGGGTAAGGAGTTAGGGTTTGGTGGGGCGAGAAATGCTGTCAATTTAGGTAGCATGATTAGAGAAAGTTCCTCAGAGAAGGTGTCATATGAGAGCCCCAACTCAAGGGAGAAGCACACAAGTGAACGGGAGCTCAACCAGGGGAAAGCAAGTGCAACGGCCTTCAGACAACAGCATGCACAGCGTATCTGAGAACAACAGGGCATCCGAGTGTCTGAAGCCGAATGAATGTGGGGCTACAGAGGTAGGAGATAAATAGGCAGATAAAGGCTGGACTGTGCAGGTTTTCAAAAACTTGAGAAAGGATTTGGGATGTTAAGTCTGACGGGAACCCACTAGGAAATCCTGAACAGGAGATAACACAGGTTTGTGTGTGTGCTTCTAAAGAGTAAAGTGGGGGAATGGAATGTAGAAAGGCAAAAGCAAATGTGGCCATGTAAGGTGACAAACGGGGCTCTAGTTTTAACTTGCATTTCTCTCATGAGTGCAGCTGAGAAGACTTTCATATATATTTCTGAAACATTTAGGGTTTAAAAATGTCACTTTTCACTAGGCTGTTAGGGACGTGGGCATAAGACTCTAAAAAAGAATTAAGATGCATTAAATAGGGACAACTTCTGTTAAAAACTCTCCTAAGTATTCAAAGTCCACTTTTAGAAAAACACTATAAAAGTTTGCCAATCAGAGTCTAGGAGATGCCTCAAATCCCATCAAGGAGTCACCAATACTGACATAAATGAATGTAATTAGTTCCATAATATATTTTATTTAAAATAGAGAAACTTATGATGATGATACAGTTTTGATAGCTGGTGAAAAACATTGAAAAAGCATCCTTTAGGAAGACATTTTCAGTGTATCTCTAAAACTACCTAGGCAATGCATATTCTCTCTTTTTAATGGGGAGAGTCTGAGAGGGCAAAAACCATATTATATTGGTATTTTTATCATTAGCTCCTAGCACAGTCCTCTGCACGCTATAGGATGGGACTGAACTCTACTACCACACAGGAAAAGGTACACAGGTCTGGTCTCCCTGCCCAGTTGATTCTGACTCAGGGCAGAACAACCCTCCAGGCTTCTGAGACTGACAATCTTTAGGGGAGTAGAAAGCCTCATCTTTCTCCCACGGGGTGGCCGGTGGTTTTTGAGGTTCGCAGTCGACTTGTAACCTGCCTCACCACCTGACAAGCATGGTCATAGACTTAAAAAAGATTGCACATCAGGCCAAAATATTATCACAAATGGAGTTCCTTCTGGTTATATGTGAGTCTAATACTGTGCAAACTGAACAACCTTCTTAGCTACATGGGATCCATTAACAAGGGGGTGGGTCACCAGTCCCAGGGATCATTCTAGTTAATTTTCATGATGTCGTAAATAGATTCTCATTCTTTTTTTTCCCCCCCTTCTTCTTTAATCAAATAACTTCTGTGATACCAGGAGGATCGAGCTCCTGTGGGCTTGATTATCGGAGTTAACAGATATAAACCTGCACCTGCTTAGATGAGATCCAAGGGGTAGTACTGGGCTACCCACAAAAATCTGGTGAAATTGTAAACATTAGACGATCTTTTCCCAGGGTATTTTGGGCAGAAGTGTCATGGGCCCTGCAGTTATATGACTAGATCCCAGGATGGTGTCCTTACCCCTGTAATCTCCATACAGGTTAGGAAGGAGGGTGTAGTTGGTCCAGCAGTAGAAATCTGGAAGCTGTTTGATCTCTGAGAAACAATGAGAAAAGGTCTTCTGGATAACTTAATGGAGGTGATATCCATCTGAGTTCTTTGTGGAATAGATCTCAGTCATCAGTAAGATTAGAAAGAAGATTTGCACTAGTGCAGAAGAGAAAGTAGTATCAGAGTTGGGTGGTTATCTTAGAAATAGTCTATACTGTTTCTTTCATTTTTCCTAAGCCTATAAGACATTCAAAGTAAAAACAACCCCCCACACAATTTCATACGGTTCAACCTAAAATTGTCAATAAGTAAGCCAAATCATTTGATTCTTAGTGAGAGGTATATGTATTCCTTTCCAGAATTATTGTTACTGATCATAATTTTTCCTTAAAATAAGATACATAAAATTTCACACAGAAAATAATGTTTTAGTTTGTATTTTTAGAACTAAGCTACACACACACACACACACACACACAAAACGAGGCTTCTAAAGTTTGTGAAAAATGAAATGAAAAGATGAAAAATTTCTAGCAACAATGAAACATACAACTTTCCTCTAGTTCGTTAATGCTCCCTGACCCCTTACCGCCCCCCACCCCACTATCATGATCCCAATTCTACCTTACAAATCTGGCTAGACCAGAGGATGTACACTGGTACAGATAGGAACTGGAAACACAGGGATTCCAAGACAGGTGATTCCTTCAGGACCAGTGGTGAGAGTGGTGATACTGGGAGGGTGGAGGGAGGGTGGGTTGGAAAGGGGGAACCGATTACAAGGATCTACATACAACCTCCTCCCTGGGGGACGGACAACAGAAAAGTGGGTGAAGGGAGATGTCTTACAGTGTAAGACATGACAAAATAATAATAATTTATAAATTATCAAGGGTTCATTGGGAGGAGAAAAAAATGAGCTGATACCAAGGGCTCAAGTAGAAAGCAAATGTTTTGAGAATGATGATGGCAACAAATGTACAAATGTGCTTGACACAATGGATGTATGATGTATGGATTGTGATAAGAGTTGTACAAGCCCCCAATAAAATGATTAAAAAAAACCTGAAGTTCCCTTATGTGTATGGAAAACCCTGGTGGTGTAGTGGTTGTGGGTTGGGCTGTTAACTGCATGGTCAAGGTTTGAAACCACCAGCTGCTCCATTAGAGACAGACAGGTTTTCTACACCTGTAAAAAGTTATAGTCTTGGAACTCTCAGGGGTAGTTCTACCCTGTCTTATAGGGTCATTATGAGTCAGCGTAGACTCTATGGAAGTAAGTTTATGACTTAAAAGAGCCCCTAATAAAATGATTTTTTAAAAAAGACTTAAAAGAATGAAAGGCATGATGAAAATAGAACTGGTAGGGAGAGGGGGCGTGGAGGGAGGGGAAAAATGAGGAGCTGATGCCAGGGGCTTAAATGGAGAGCAACTGTTTTAGAATGATGAGGACAATGAATGTACAAATGTGCTTTATACAACTGACGTATGTATGGGTTGTGATAAGATTTGTATGAGCCCCCAATAAAATGATTTAAAAAAAAGAAAATAGAACTTGTCTTCTTGGGTCCATGGAATTCAATAAAGTACTAGATGTATTGGAACTAGTCACTTCACATTTATAGAATAGCTACTTTTCAAAGCATTTTCACTTTTCATCCTCCCTGTGAAGTATGAAGATCAACTATTGCTATCACATTTTGTTGCTGAAAAGACTGACTTACTCAAGCATATGATTAGATCCTAAGACCCCAATTTCAGGAGTCTTTTCATTCAACAACATGCCCATCTTTACTGGTATCTAAAACTTTGCAAGGCATAGTTGGGCTGCTAACCACAAAGTCAGCAGTTCCAACCTACCACCTGCTCTGAGGGAGAAAGATGAGGCTCTCTGCTCCCGTAAAGGTGTGCAACATTGCTACTCTGTTCTGTAGCGCTCCTAAGAGTTGGAACTGACTTAATGGCAGGGAATTTGGTTTTTACCTCCGAAAAGTCCTCTTTTATTCTCCCTCTTCCTTTGCTCTCAGTGACATGTGTTGCACTATCAACACACACCATTTCTCTCCGCACCTAGTATATCTCCAGTCAGCTTGAAGAGTTTCAACTCTTTCAATGTTTCTTCTGGAGGCCTCACTGGGCTAGTTCTAGATGGGGCTATGTAGATAGAGTTGCTCTTATCTCTTGTACCAGGTAATGATGAAGAACACTTTGCTGCAAAAATTCAAATATGAGTCAAGAAAATGTTACATTTCATGAAGCAGTCATTCATCAAGCATTTGCTAAGCATTTACTATGAGCACCTCCTGTTAAATGCTAAAGAAAAAAGATAGTTAAGCCGTGCTTCTCAAACTATTTATGATAAAGAATTGTTTAAAGATTTTAATTTCCAATCTGAGGGGGACCGCTACTTTGGTAAAAGGCAATTAAAATGAATTAATAGAAAAATGAAACAAATAGACAAAATTAAGTCAAAAGGTTCACAATTAAGGTTCTAGTTCATATATGCATGGGTTTATTCTGAACGAAACATGTTTAAACCTGTCTTTGCAATCAGTATAGGGCCGCAGCCAAGTTCTCTCAAGAACATAAAGACTAAGACTTGTCTTAGTCCTTTTAAGACTCCTCAAAAGAAAGTTGCGAAGGGAAAAAAATGATTTTCAGATCAGGACTAATATAAAATTCTTATCAAAACTCAAGTGGACATCTTCCCAAATCATTGGAGCTATGTTCCAAGTTTACAACGTAGGTCAAGCATTATAAAGAAGGCTAGGAAGACCTCAAAAATGAACTTGAGTTTGTGAAAACCAGATCAATCTTGCTAAAAAATACTAGACAGAGATTCAGCAATGGCAGACAGCAACCTGAAACTCGCATCCATGACAAAATCACCCAGAAGCCAACCCAGATACAGATCCAAAGTATCCAAAGTAAATCTGAAAATAGGCAATCAGACAGAGCAATTTGTCATGAAGACATTTACAAGTAAAAAGAAGCAATAGTGTAGTTACAGAACTCCCAAATAAAGAGGAAATCAAGTAGATTTCAAAAATATGGGTAAACAGAGGCAGGATACAGTTAAAAGGGAGGATGGCAAAAAATTATAGATCGGGGAGGACACTGGAAAGAGTGTAAAAGTTAAGGGCAACAGAGGTAAATGCTGTTGTGTATACCGTCCTGCAATAACAGTAGACGCACTGATAAATACATAGGCTGAGCAGATATGGGCAGGAGCAGAAGAGTGTATGTACACTCATAGACATACACATTATTTGGCAAAGAATATTTTTACATGGGTATTTACTTTTGATGCAAGACTATCTATGGATGTGGTGGGGCATACATGGGGCAAAGGCATGAAAATTTCTTAGATCGAACTAGGAATTTGGGGGGAATGAGTTGCTGGGCCTGGGGACTCTGGACCATAGTCTAGGGGGACACCAAGGTCAATTGGCATAACATAGTCCACAAAGTCCACATCCTACTTTGCTGAGTACCAACAGGTCATAAAGGCTGGGGAGTGGCCACCCAAAGTGCTAGTATTTTAATCCCCTTATCCAGAGGAAAGAACAGTGATGAAAACACATGGAAAAAGTTATTCTGATCTGCTAATGGACCACATGAACAACAATCTCCACAACTGAGACCAGTAAAACGAGATGGTGTCTTGCTATCATTACTAATTCCTCCGAAAGGAATTGTGTTAGAAAGTCCTGGGTAGAATGGGACAAAGATGTAGAACAAAACTCTAAATCATTAAGGATACCAAGCTTACTGGTTGGATAGAGACTGGTAACGTCCCCGAGACTATGGTCTTTGGTCACCCTTTAGGTCTGGAACTGAACTTAACAACCATGTGGCTCAATTTTCAGTCAAACCAATAGACACTTGCAGATATTCAGGTATAGATGGTGGGCAGTTGTAAGTAGCATATGGGCTAAGAGACAGATAGAGAGAAAAATAGTATAGGTGAGAGTTGACGCCTTGAGGATGAGAAGATCTAGGGAGGAATACCTAAGTTTCGGTGACCCCTTGATTAGCCTTGGGCAGAGGAGTAGGAGCAACTAGCTGATTAGAGATAAGATAGTGAATGGATGCATTGTTTGCCTGAGTCAGTGAGTTACTTTTCCGACATAATTTTCTCTTGGCAGAATGAGATTTCTAGTCGTTATAACTACTTGATTTACTCGAGTGCCAAGATTCTCTTCATTTGTTATTCCTTTTCTTTGTTAAGCCATGGCATCTTGCTCAGCATCAGTGAGAGTAAGAATGTGAGGCAGATCACCTGGACAGGGAAATCACAAGAAAATCTAGCCAGCAGGTATTACAGGGTGCAGGGGACATCATTTTGTAAAGGTTAAGTTCCGTATTCATCATAAATTTCAATTATTTGACCCTTTATTTTCATTGAGATTTAAGAACTAATTTTATAATCATGTTTGCTTGTGGGGTATCTGGAATGTCCCCAAGAGTCTAAATAATGTTAATATTCATATTTTGCCTATAATTCTCAATATTCTAAACTAGAAAAGTGTAAATAATTATAATTATTTGTATAAATTGTTCAATAACACCTCCGAATGTCTTTGGAAGACCCATGATGGACAGCTAGACTGGAGAAGTCAGACTTTTAAAAGTCCCAATGATTAAATCTCAGCTTAGCAAAAGAGTTTATGGAGTCTTAGAGAAACATACATCTCTTCCATGGCATTTTCAATAGCCTCATTTGCATGTGAAAGTTGGACAATGAATTAAAAAAAATCAAAGAAAAATTGATGCATTTGAACTGTGGTGTTGGTGAGGAATACTGGAAGTACCATGGACTGCCAAGAGAACACACAAATTGGTGTTGGAGTCAGTATAGCCAGCATGCTCCTTAGAAGGGAAGATGGCATCTCACAGACAGGAGAGCAGTCCCTGGAGAAGGCCATCATGCTTGGTAAGGTGGAGGGTCAACGCAAGAGAAGAACGCCCTCTAAGAGATGGATTGACACAGCGGCTGCAACAATGGGCTCAAACAGAGGAACAATGGTGAGGATGCTGCTGCGCCAGGCGGGGCTTCAATCTATTCTACATAGGGTCACTATGAGTCGGAACCAACGGCCCCTAACAACAGTGGCAGCAGCAACTCCTTAAATTTCCTAGAAGGCAGAAATTCTCTTCTAATTCTTAGTAGAATAAGGATGGAAGGCACATTTTCCAGCCTCTTGGCCCACCTTTTCACCCCTCTCAGCCCTCCTTCCCTCTCTGGAGAGGAGTCTGTGTAGGTGACTCTCTCTCTCTCTCTCTCTCTGTTGCCCGCCTCAGACAGGGTCTGTCCTGCTCACTTGGGTTTTCCTGGTGTGGGCACAGAGGCCCGGCCAAGGGCCAGGCCTGCTATCCACAGGAGCGTTTGAACCCTTACCTCAGGCCCTACGGTGGGTATGAGGTGGCAAATCTGGTCATACATGTTCTGCAGACTGAAAGTCTCCCTCTCAAGGACTGTCCTAAGGACTAGACTTGGAGGAAAGCAGTAGAAAGTCTATTTAGCCAAGAGTTCATGCACATTCCTCACTAGTAATTAAGCTTTACTTATCACTTTGATATTCCTTTTAAAATCTTTTCCCCTCATTTTCTTTTATATCGAAGTATTATATATTTATTATAAATATTTGGTGAAAAAATAAAAATTTTCCCGTAATCTTACCATCAGAGATTAATGAACTAATTCCAAATGTGGAGTATACTCTTTAATCATTTTTGTTTTAGTCAATATTTACTTTGTTAACATATTAACATTCTCTATAACATTATTTTAATGATTGCTCATTATTCCATTCTATAGTTGCATCATAATGCATTAATTGATTAATGTTCTCATGCTAGATATTTAAATAGTTGCTAAATTTATTTTTATTTTATTTTATTTTTTTAATCAATTTATTGGGGCTCATAAAATTCATCACAATACATAGATCAATTGTGTAGAGCACATCTATACATTTGTTGCC